TTATTTATCTATCTATCTATCTATCTATCTATCTATCTATCTATCTATCTATCATCTATCTATCTATCTATCTATCATCTATCTATCTGAAAAAGAAAGAAAATATAAAGTACAATGATACTGCAGAATGAAACAGCGAGCTTTATTTTATTTTTTGGTCTTTTTTTTTTTTGTCTTTTTTAACAGGGTCTCTCAGTAGCCCCAGCTGGCCTGGAACTCACTATATAGACCAGGCTGGCCTCGAACTCACAGAGATCTGCCTGCCTCTGCCTCCTGAGTGCTGGTACTAAAGGCATGCACCACAACACTGGGCTATTTTTGGTCTTTTTCAAGACAAGGTCTCCCTGTAGCCCCAGCTGGCCTGGAACTCATTTTGTAGACCAGGCTGGCCTCAAACTGACAGAGGTCCGCCTGCTTCTGCCTCCTGAGCGCTGGGATTAAAGACACGCACCACCATGCTTGGCTAATAAATGCAATTTTAAAAATGAAATAAAGAGCCAGGCGTGGTGGCGCATGCCTTTAATCCCAGCACTCGGGAGGCAGACGCAGGTGGATCTCTGTGAGTTCGAGGCCAGCCTGGTACATAGTGAGAGTTCCAGGTCAGCTGGGGCTACAGGAAGACCCTGTCTCAAAAAGACCAAAATAATAAATAAATAAATAAATAAATAAATGAAAATAAAGGAGCTGGAGAGATGATTTTTTTCAAAGTATTTATTTTTATGTGTATGGATGTTATGTCTGTATGTATGTAAGTGCACCTGTGTCATACAATGTCCAAGGGGGCCAGAAAAGGGTGTCAGGTCCTCTAGAACTGGAATTAATGACAGTTGTTAGCTGCCATGTGGGTTCTGGGAATCCAAGTCCTCTGCAAGAGCAGCCAGTGCTCTTAATCACTGACCCATCTCTCCAGCTCCCTCAAATACAACTTTTTTTTTGGTCTTTTTTGAGACAGGGTCTCCTAGTAGCCCCAGCTGGCCTGGAACTCACTATGTAGACCAGGCTGACCTCCACAGAGGTCTGCCTGCCTCTGCCTCCCGAGTGTTGAGACTAAAGGTGTGCGCCACCATGCCTGGCTTAAATACAACTTTTAATGTTTATAACTAATTGGTTTTCTCTGCCCTGTTTTTAGTTTCTGGCCACTTGGCCTTTACCTTGTTGAGAAATGACTTTAGAGTTAAAATTAACTACATGGTAAAAACTATTGACTTAGTGTCACAAAGAATGGCTTTTTCTTCATTAGTTTCTTCAGCAAATACCAACCACCTAAATAAATATACTGTTTACTAAAGTGATTAATGGACTTCAGGGTGTATAAAGAACAAATTAAGTACTTAAATAGGAGCTTGGGTTTATACAGATACTGTGATGCTCACTCTAAATAGACACTGATAGGGCTGGAGAGATGGCTCAGTAGTTAAGAGCATTAACGGTTACTCTTGTAGAGACTGGGGTTCAATTGCCAGCACCTAATCAAATTGGCAGCTAACAACTGTCTGTAACTCCAGTTCCAGAGGATCCAACGCCCCCTTCTGACTTCTGCAGGCATTGTACAACATGGATGCACCTACCTACATGCAGACAGTACACATTAAATAAAAATAAAAATATTTTTAAAAAGACAGACACTGAATGCTAGGAAGGATGAGAATGATTTTTTTTTGTCTTTTTGAGATAGGGTTTCCCTGAAGCTCCAGCTGGTTTGGAACTCGCTCTGTAGACCAGGCTGGCCTTGAACTCACAGAGATCTGCCTGCCTCTGCCTCCCAAGTGCTGGGATTAAAGGCATGCACCACCGCACCTGTCGAGAATGAATATTTTTAAGATTAAGGTTGGGGGCTGGAGAGATGGCTCAGCGGTTAAGAGCATTGACTGCTCTTGCAGAGGACCTGGGTTCGATTCCCAGCACCCACATGGCGGCTACGAATTATCCTTAACAACACTCACATGGTGGCTACGAACCATCCTTAACTCCAGTTCCAGGGGAATCCGAAGCCCTCTTCTGACCTCTGCAGCATTGCACGACACAGGTGCACTCACATACATGTAGGCAATACACTCATACACATAAAATAAAAATAATTAAAATATTTTTTAAAAAAAGATTAAAGTTACAAGAAAAGAAGGCCATGGGGGCTGAAGAGATGACTCAATGGTTAGGAGCACTGGCTGCTCTTGCAGAGTACCTGGGTTCAGTTCCCAGCACCCACTTGGTGGCTAACAACTGTCTGTAACTCCAGTTCCAGGAGATCTGATGCCCTTTTCTAGCTTCCACAGAGATTGCACACACGGGTGCACATACATGCAGGCAATATACTCATACACATAAAAGTAAAGAAAAAATTTAAAGGCCTTGTTTCTGTTGGTCTATAAACAAATGTGGAAGTCAGTCAGTGTGGTGGTGCCTTTAATCCCAGTACTTGAAGTTAAATCAGGAGAATTAAGAGTTCCAAGCCAACCTGAATATATAGTGAAACCCTTAAACAAATAGGGCTGCTAAGAGTGGTGGCAGATGGCTTTAATGCCTGTACTTGGGAGGCAGAGGCAGGAGGATCACTGTGAGTTCAAGGCCAGCTTGGTCTACAAAGGGAGTTCCAGGTCAACTGGGGCTACAGGGAGACACTGTCTCAAAAAGATTAAAAAAAAAAATAGGGCTGAGGAAATAGCTCAGCAGGTAAAGTGCTTGCTGTGCAAGCATGAGGACCCAAGTTTGATCTCCAGAACCCACATTTTTTAAAGCTGGATGTGATGGCACACACCTAATCTGTGAGCCCCGGGTCCCAGAGAGAGACCCTGTCTCAAAATCACAAGATGGTTAGTACCTAAGGAATAATATCTCCAGGTTGACCTCTGGCCTCTACACACACACACACACACACACACACACACACACACACACGTACCAAAAACAAATAATAAATAAAATACGTTTTAAGTTTTAAAAGGGATCAGAGAGATGGTTCAGCAGTTAAGAGCACTGGCTGCTCTTACAAAGGACTCAGTTGTTCCCAGCACCCACTTGCTGGCTACCAACTCTCTGTAACTCCAGTTCTAGGGGATCCAATGCCTTCTCTGACTCCATAGGCATTGCACAACATGGTGCACTTACATACATGCAAGCAATACATTCAGACACATAAAATAAAAATAAAATATTTAAAAGTGAAAAAAAAAAAAAACCCAGCCGGGAATGACGGTGCACACCTTTAGTCCCAGCACTTTGGAGGCAGAGGCAGGCTCTCTGTGAGATGAGATCAGCCTGGTCTACATAGTGAGTTCCAGACCATCTGGGGCTATAAGGAGATAGCCCCAGGGCTGTCTCAAAAAGACCAAAAAATAAAAATAAACGTATACAAAAAAAACCCACCACCAACAACAACGAAAAAGTGGAAACACTCTCCCTTTTTGAAAGATAAACTGTAGCAATTCAATCTAAATGTCAAATTATTTATAATTTATTCAAAATGAAGTTTGTGAAATTTTAAATAACATTGAAAATACTTATAAGTGAAGCATTAGTACTTAGAATTCATTTAAAGCATCATTTCAATCAAATATGTAACAAATGCATAAGCTAGGCATGTTGGTACATGCCTTAAATCCCAGCACTAGCAAGGTAGAAGCAGGCAGACCTCTGTGAATTGGAAGCTAGCCTGGTCTACACAGTGAGTTCAGGACACCCATGAATATATAGTCAGACCTGTCTCTAAAATCAAATAAAGTAGGCTGGAATGGTGGTGCACGCCTTTAATCCCAGCACTTGGGCGGCAGAGGCAGGTGGATCTTTGTGAGTTCGAGGTCAGCCTGGTCTACATAGTGAGTTCCAGGACAGCTAGGGCTACAGGGAGACCCTGTCTCAAAAAGACAAAATAAATAAATTAATAAAATAAAATAAATAAAATGGACTGGGAATAATCTTATCAAAATATTAACAGTAGTATCTTTCAACAATGACATGACTGTGATTATTTTCTTTGGTGGGAATGTTTTATTTATTTTTTATTTTTTGGTCTTTTTGAGACAGGGTCTCTCTGTAGCCCAGCTGTCATGGAACTCACTGTGTAGAGGCAGGGAACTGCCTTCCTGTGCCTCTGGAGTGCTGGGATTAAAGGCGTGCACCACCACGCCCGGCTGTTTTATTTTTTAAAAAGATCCTTTTATAATAAATTAAAAAAAACAAAACAAACAAACAAAAAAAAAAACTATGGGCCTGGAGAGATGGCTCAGCGGTTAAGAGCACTGACTGCTCTTGCAGAGGACCCAGGTTCGATTCCAAGCACCTACAATGCAGCTACGAACCATCCTTAACTCCAGTTACAGGGGAATCCAACGCCCTCTTCTGGCCTCCTTGGCATTGCACAACACGGGTGCATGCACATACATGCAGGCAATACACTCCTACAAATAAAAATAATAAATATAAAAAAATATTTTGGCAAACTTCTTGCACATGCCTTTAATCCCAGCCCTCGGGAGGCAGAGACAGGCAGATCTCAGAGTTCAAGGCCAGCCTGGTCTACATAGTGAGTTCCGGGACAGCTGGGGCTACAGAGACCCTGTTCTCAAAAAGACCAAAAAAAAAAAAACAACTAAAATCAGTCATGCAACTTAAGTAAACAAAATAAGTCTTTGTAGAATTACCTCTGAGACATGAAGACACCAGAATTACTTGTCTTATTTATTACAGGAAGAAGGCAGCTCAGTTTGATTCTTGGGATTTTCTGGCTCTCCTCACTGGTTTCAAAGGTAATTTCCTTAATGCTTCAATGGCCTTGAATAGTTTTTAAACCAGAATTTAGAAATGCTTACTTTTAGTCAGTGTGACCTAAAAGTACAATCTATAGACAATCTAGATGTTTTGATTTCTCACAAAAATGTGTATGTGAAAGTATTTCAAAAATATAAAACAATACACAAAGGCAGACACCTTATAATCAGTTCTTTGTGTAAATTATGACTTTATTGACAGGATTATTATCACAGTGTACAAGAGCAAAGACTTCCCTGTGGTATGCAGCTGTGGACACTGTTTGCAGAAACCATGTGCTCGGGGTGTGACCAGGCTTAAAGTACTCACGGTTTGCTTTTGTAAATAGTCCAGGATAGAGAACCGAGGAAAGCTGTAGTCTGGAGGCTGACTTAGTCTACCTAAGGCTAGTCAAGGGTAATCCAACAGGTGCTTATTATGTTAGTCAACTGTCTCTCTAAAAAAATTAATTGAGTAATTCAACCTAAATCCTGTATTGACTCACAGTTTCAGATGTTTTAGTCCATGGCCATTAGCACCAGTGTTTCTAAGCCTGTGGTGAGGCAGAATATCATGCAGGGAGCATGTGGTAGAGCAGAGCTACTCACCTTAAGATGGGAAGGAGGGAGGGAGAGAGGGAAGGAGGGAGGGAGGGAGTTCAGACAAAATATGCCCTTATGGGCATGTCCCTGGTGACCTTCCAACTAAGCTCTACCTCCTAAAGTTTCCACCATACCCAGTAGTCCATTATGCCATGAATCCATCAATGAGGTCAGAGCCAAAGGCCCCATCTCTCAGCACTACTGCACTGGGGGCCACACCTACAAGATAGGAACTTTGAGGGCTATTCCTTGTCTGTGCCCAGCACATAGTTTAACATGAAATTTTGGAAGTATTATTTTATCTGATTCTCCAAGCCACCCTATGAAGCAGGTGGAGGTCTCCTTCCCCATTTTATAGTGGAAATAAAGTTGCTTTCTCCATGTCACATAGCTTATGGGTCTCAAAGCCATGATTGTACTCAGGTTCTCTGAACCCAACCTCAGTGTTATTGATAATGGCGGTCTCCCAGATAGTCCCTACCACCTGGGGAAGCACCCATGCACATATCAGTGAGTGCTGTAGTGATCGCTGTTTACTGAGTGCAGAGTGAAGGAGAAACTAAGAGGAGCATGATTAATTTATTCCTAGCCACACCCTCAGCCCCAAAGGCCAACTCGTCTCCTTATTTGTGTCATGTTTCCTCAAATGGCTTTTGTGGGTGTTCTTCTAAAGTGAACAATGTTCTAAAAAGGGCTGTCACTCTTCCTCTTTGTATGCCTCGTTTTGTCTTCCACCATTCCACCATTGAGACATGAAGACACCAGAATTACTTGTCTTAAAAAAGGTTGTGTGTGTGTGTTCGTGTTAGTACAGGTGCCCCTAGAGGCCAGAAGAGAATGTTGGCTCCCCTGGAGCTGGGGTTGGTGATTGTAAGCTGCCTGATATGGGTGCTAGGAACTGAACTCAGATCCTGGTCCCCCTTCCTACTCTGTCTCTGCTTTGTCTGCCTGTAATATGGAAAAGAAATATGGCCTGAATAAAATAACATTTCAAAATAGGGTTTTGAGCTGGGCATAGTGGCCCATGCTTTAATACCAGCACTTGGGAGGCAGAAGCAGACAGATCTCTGTGAGGCATCCTGGTCTGTATAATGAGTTCCAGACCAGCCAGGGCTACACAGTAAAACCCTGTCTCAAAAACAAAAACCAAACAGAGTAGGGTTTCTTATCTCTAGCACGATTTTTTTTTTTTTTTTTTTTGATCTTTTTGAGACAGGGTCTCCCTGTAGTCCCAGCTGACCTGGATCTCACTATGTAGACCAGGCTGGCCTTGAACTCAGAGATCCACCTGCCTCTGCCTCCCGAGTGCTGGGACTAATGGCATGGGCCACAATACCTGGCTCTATTAGGATTTTTAAAGCATATAGAGGGACAAGACCTCCAAATTCTCTTCCCATTCTTGAGTTCAATATAAAGATGTTTGCACGTGAATCTCAATTGTTTTCTCATAGGAGCATTTTCCTGGACAGGAAGTCAATACCTTTTATGAAGGGGAGTAGCCCACATATCACATATTATATGGTATTTTCCTGGGAATTCTCAAATATTTCACAAGGAAACAAGATACTCTCAATTTAAGTCTGGGAAGCAGTCATGAGGAGTCTGTATCCTTCTCCTAATGATGTCCAAAGTGGGGCCTGGAGTGATAGGAGAGATAAAACAAAAAGTAGGATCACAACCCCAGCCCAAACTGGATCTTTAAGAATTACCTGCTTGGGATTGGAGAGATGGCTTAGCAGTTAAGAGCACTGGCATGGTGGCTAACAACCATCTCCAGTTTCAGGAGATCCAATGCCCTCTTCTGTCTTACACCAGCATTGCATGACACAGATGCACTTACACATATGCAGGCAATACACTCATACACATAAAATAAAAATAAAATAAATAACTTTAAAAAATTTTCCTGCTCAACCTGTGAGACTCTGAAGAGTGTGTGCATTCATTTGTGTGTGTGCATGTGTGTGTGTTTAGGCTAGAGGACAACCTCAGGTGTCATCCCTCAAATGCCTTTCACCTTTTAAAACAATTATTTTATGTGTATGAGTGGTTGACTTGAGACGCTCTGAGTAGGCTAGGCTGATTGTCCTCCAAGTCCCAGGGATCTGCCTGTCTCTATCCCCCTAGTGCTGGAATTCCAAGTGCACACTGCCATACCATTTTTTTTTTTTTTTAATGTGGTTTCTGAGGATGGAACTCAGGTCCTCATTCAGGCATAGCACTCACTTTCCCAGTAAACTATCTCCCTAGCCCCAATGACACTCTGAATTTGATAAAGGAGTCTTAACTTAGCATCTTGTTATCCACGTTTGCCATGTTCTAACATTTTGACAATTCTGTCACCAGCAGTGTGACTTGGAGTAATTTTCTAATTGCTCTTGTCTGTCTCTCATTTCTCTCTCTCTCTCTCTCTCTCTCTCTCTCTCTCTCTCTCCCTCCCTCCCTCCCTCCCTCCCTCTCCCTCTCCCCTCCCTCCCTTGATAACAAATTTGTTGTGAGGATTAATGAACTAATGCAAGAAAAGTGTTTGATATAGTGCCTAGCATATAATAAACTCTCTATAAGTAGATTCATTTATTGAGCCTTTGAAAGGTGGCAGGCCTAATTTGGGATACGGAATACAAAGACAGTCTTTGTTTCAAAAGCTGAGTTTGGCTGGATATGTTGGTATACACCTGCAAATCCAGCACTGGGGAGGCTGAAGCAGACGACTTGAGTTCCAGGGAAGTCTGGGCTCCTGCTGCTAGTGAGTCCTAGACCATCCTGCCATCCTGAGCTACATAGCAAGGCCCTATCTTAAAGAAAGGAGGAGAGGGGAGCAAAATTCTGGTGGGAAAACATCATATATATGAATAAAAAACCTAAACAAGTTCACTGCTCAAATGCAGAAGCCTATTAGAAAGTGAACTAACTCAAGGGGCTAGAAAGATGGCTCTCTTGCAAGGGACCCAGGTCCCAGCACCCACATGGCAGCTAACATTAGTGACTCCAGGAGATCTGACTCCCTCTTCTGGTCCCCTCAGGCACTGTGTGCACATGGTACGCTTACATAAATGCATGCCAAACACTCATATACATAAAAATAAAATTAAAAAAGAAAGTGAATGCATAGACGAATACAGAAACCTTGAAGAAGGAAACATTAGAGATAGGTTTGAAGGGGGTTGAGCACATGCCTTGAGTTGGATACTGTGTGGAAAAACAGCCTTCTGAAGGATGAGCTTTTTTTTTTTTTTTTTTTTTTAAGGTTTGGTGCTCCCTCCACACTGCTGCCCCTTAGGACTTGTTGCTTTTGATTTAGCTTTATCACTTACCCTAGGGGTGGCAGGGGTGTGTGTGTGTGTATGATTGCTTGAAAAGTCAAGGTTCAAGTTTATGCTTGTTGGTTTTTATGGTGAGTCAACTTAAATATTCTGGTGACTTCATTGAGTACAATGTTGGAAACTGATTTTACTTGTGATTTCTGTATATGAAACATCTGTTGTTTTGTATTCATTTCATAAACACATTTTAAGAGTTGTACAGAGAGCTTCCTGTGTGGAGGACTGGTTCCCACCACTTGAAATTGTTAGCATACTTGTTAAATGTTGCTGATCTCTCTGAAACAAGAAGGCAGGGAGGACTTGGAACCACTTGTCACCTTCTGGAAAAGCTAGAGCTGGAGGTAACCATGATGCACGGGTAAGGAACAGAACGTGGAATGTTTTCTGGAGATAATGGAAAGTTTACACTAGCCATTCTTTGTCCTGATGCAAATATGCAATACAGAGAGTCTAATTTGCCAGACATCTTGGTCCCAAACTGAAGTGTCCTTTTCATTTTACCATTTATGTTAGTTGTGGATTGGGGAACTAGAGATGCTGCCCACCCTAAGTAGATGACATTCCAAAGCTACATCCATGTTAACATGTAGGTATATGTTAGTCATTGTCTTCACCCCTAAAAGATCACAGTCTAGTAATAGTAACATTAATTAAAAAAAAAAACTTGCCTTTAAAATGTAAGAAAGTCTCAGACCGAAAAATTATATACTAATTGAAACAAGCAAAAGCTGAGTTCATCTCTATATTGCTATGCCAGTAACTTTTCATTTATTTGCATTTAGCAGAGACTATTTCCTATTTTATAGAGGTCCCAGAATCATAAGAATTCAGAGCTGGAAAAGCTTTAAGGGGCTTGTAATTCAGACTCTTCCTTGTTCTACAATTGAGGAAATAGTGGGCCAGAGAGACTGAGGCCAACCAGCTGTTCCAGACAAAGCCCTCCAATGGGACTTCAGTCAGCATTTTGCATGTTGGTGATTTGAAAAGATCTAAAGTACCTACCTTTCGATGATACTAGGCCTTAGTGAATCACACACACACACACACACACACACACACACACACACACACACGCTAGGTGAGAAAGCTACAAACCAAAGCAGGGCTTCTCTCTTGAGAGAAGCCAGTACTGAAATTACTGTACTGTTCCATGAATTTCATGCTAAGCATTCAGGTTTAGAGCACATGGACCAAGAACTTTAGAATAAGGACACGCTGTCAACAACAGCAAAACAGTTACCAGTAGTATCTGGACACAAAGCCAAGAGGGAGTGAGAATGTGAGATTTAAAGCTTTCTAAGATTCTCCCTAAGAAGCCGCAGAGGTTGGCAGGGCAGGCAACTGACAAGACTCCCCTTTAGAAGTGACTGTGCTCCGTGGATGAGGGCAAGCGGCCACCCGTCCACCCGGTCGCTCCTTCCGTAGCCAGAGACGTCCGCACCGTGGGCGGTCCCTGTGCGCATCCCCAGGGACCGAACCGAAGTCTGGGCGCCCTAGCGCTTCCCGCCGACTCGGCCGGGCGACCGCTTGCTCTGGTCCGAGGCTCAGCCCGCCGCCTACCGCCCGCGGGGAACCCGGGAAGCCTCGCGGCCCGCGAGACCCCGCCTCAGCCCGCCTCACCGCACCTATCGCGGCCTGCACGCTGGTCACGCGGGGAGCCGCTCCGCGGGCGGACAGCCAGAGCCCGGCAGGGCCCGGGTGGCGGCTGCCGGTCGGGGCGGGGCGAGGCGGAGGTTAGAAATAGGGACGGGCGGGCGGCGCAGAGCCGCCCTGACCACGCCGCAGCGCCCAGCGAGGCGGCCAGACCCACGCACCCATGCTGCTGACGCTGGCCAGCGGCGCGCTCTTCTTCCCCGGGCTCTTCGTGCTCAGCACCTGGGCATTGCGCCGCTCGCGGCCGGGATGGACCTACGACGACTGCGTGACGGTCGGCACCAGGTACCGGGCTGCCCGGCACTGGCGGGGTGCTGCCCTCCACTCCCGGTGGCGCGGCGCCGGGGCTGCGGGCGGAAAAGGGGGGCGACAGGAAGCGAGGAGGACGGAGAGCGAGGGGGGACAGGGAGCCAGGGGGGACAGAGGGCGGGGGGGACGGGAGCGAGGAAGACAGAGAAACTGGGGGCACAGAGTACAAGGAAGGAAGGAAAGCTGGGGGGACGGGGAGCCAGAGGGGACATGAAGCGAGGGGACAGGGAGCCGAGGGGACGTAGAGCGAGAGGGACGGGAAGCGGGGAGGATATGAAGCGAGGGGGACGGGGAGCTAGAGGGGACCCGGAGCCAGGGGTACGGGGAAGCTTGGGGTACGGGGAGCCAGGGGAATGGGGAGTAGTGGGTACGGGGAACCAGGGGGACTGGGAACCAGGGGGACTGGGAACGGGAACCAGGGTCAGGCCGCCCACCCGCTCCGCTCGCTCCTGGACCAGAGCTTAGGGAGCGGGCACTCGGCTGAGCGGCTACTCGGTGGAGCCACCCGTGCGAGTCGGGATAGGAAGGGCAGGGCGTGTGCATCTCTTTTGAGTCTGTTGTCCACAGCTGCCCCTGCTTTGGGAATCCGGGCGGAGTTTCCCTCCGCTTGGGAAGTCAGGTTGGAGAGTGGTGCTTTGTACTGTCCGGAATCCAGGAGTGAACGCGCTTCTTTCATTTCTCTTCTCTGCCCCAACTCAGGCTGGTGTCCTCGGTGCAGGCGGTGCTGGCCACCGGGGCGGGGTTCATCGTTATCCGCTCCTGCAAAAACGTGGTCTCAGACAGGTAACCATCCCATCTCAGGTGGAAAAAGTACAAATACCCGGGCTGAGGATTTTTTTTTTTCACATTTTAGTGGCTCACAGGTACTAATTCTTTATCATGCTGCGAGATACGTGACTGCCTAGTGGGAAATCCTCTGCACCCTGATTATTGTCCTCCTTGTCTTGGCTGCTCCCAGCATCCTAGGTTAGGAGAAAGAAGATTCACACACTCCTTTAGTCCCAGCACTCTGGAGGCAGAGGCAAGCGGATCTCTGTGGGTTCAAGGCCAACCTGGTCTATATAGTGAGTTCTAGGCCAGCTGGAGCTACAGAGAGACCCTGTCTCAGACCGAAAAAAAAATTTTTTTCATAGAAGAGAGAGTGGAGAAATATTATAGAGCAAGAGGTTAAGTTTGGTTTAAAGTGATGCATTAGAGGAAGGACAGAGTGGTCCGCTGGTCCAAGCTCTTTATAAGTATGAAAAATATTTACAAGTGGGAGTATGACTCTTGGCTCTTTTAAATGCCCTCATTGGGTTCTCACTCTGGAACATGCTTTAGCAGAGGTAGTAGCAGTGTCTGTAGCCAAGCCCTTCTAGTGACAGCAACATGCCCACCCTCTTTCCCTGAAGATCCTGCTGTTGCTTTTTCTTAGGTTTTGCTCAAGATAATGGAGAGGTTTCTGGTACCTTCAGAAAACTGACTTGTATGTGCCCAAAGCCAGGGCAGGAAATGCACATCTTTGCCACTTCAGTGAAACAAATCATACTGAACTATTTTGTTTAGGCCTGAGTATTGATGCTGCTTTTGTTTTATTTTTCCTCTAGACTGTCAGGGAACTTGTGGCAATCTTCCTGTACCTGTATCTCAAGTGCTGGAATTACAGATATATGCCACAGCACCTGAATGCCTTTATTTTTTTCAGGTTTTGTTTTTTGTTTTTTGTTTTTTTTCTGTCTCTTAGAACCACTCTTTTTCTCCAAGTTTAGCTAAAGGATAGTAGGCAGGTGTGTAGAAAGTTGGGTCACCTTTCCTGGTTCTTTGCTCTGCAATGTCCTGCTTCTCACCTGCTGAGATAGGACCTGGAGGAAACTATGAGGCTGTCTCACCGTACCCCGAGAGCTTAGTTGGGTTTGATCCTTCCTACTGTAACCATGCATGCTTTCCCTGGTATCTTTTTATTTTTATTTATTTAGTTTTTTTGTTGTTTTGTTTTGTTTTCTGAGACAGGGTCTCACTATGTAGTTCTGACTCGCCTGGATCTCACAGAGGTCCACCAGCCTCTACCTCCTGAATGCTGGGATTAAAGACATGCAAAACCATGCCCAACTTTATATCTCTTTTAAACAAAACCAGTAATTTTGGTGAACTGCAGGTGCAGTAAAACCTAACAGCATTTGTGAGGCTGAGTTCCATCTCTATTTTGATTGGGTATTTTTCTGACCTGCGTCATGGTTCCTTATGGCCCTTGATTTGTCAGATCAGGTTTGAGATAGGCTTTCTCTGTGAAGATTAAGCAAGGACAAGGGTAGCTCCACAGCACCAGTCTGAGTTAGTTAAGGTGAACAGTGAGCAGCTGCTGTGTATTTCAGGAAGAGACATCCACATGTGTCCACACTATCCATACCTGAAGTTCTGTAACACCACGGTTGTGTTTCCTCTCAGAACTTGTGTGAGTTAGTGGCTTGAGCATCATGGCAAACCTACTTGGTTTTTAGATTCCTCCTTTTTTTGGGGTCTTTTTGAGACAAGGTCTTCCTGTAGCCCCAGGTGACCTGGAACTCACTATGTAGACCAGGTTGGCCTCAAGCTCCGAGATCTGCCTGCCTCTGCCTCCCAAGTGCTGGGACTACAGGTGTGCGCCACCATTCCCGGCTAGATTCCTTCTTTCATGTAACTTATGCCTCAGATCCTCTTTTGTCAAAAATAGAGATAGATATCACACTTCTTTCTTCTTTTTCTGTCTCTGCATGGTGCACAAAGAGGTACTAAGGAAACACACACAGTGCGTGCACATATACAACATATACACATACATTCATTTGTTTTTTGAGACACGGTCTCACTGTATAGCACAAGCTGGCTTTGAACTGGCAATCCTACCTCTGCCTTATGAGTGCTAGGATTACAGAAATGTACTGCCATATTTGGGTAGATCATCTTTGTGTTGTTATTTTTTGAGACAAGGTTTCATTGTAGCCCAGGCTGACCGAAAATCCTAATCCTCCTTTCTTCACTTTAAACATCTTATTTTTAAAGGCCTTTCAGGACTCCTAGACAACATACCTAAGTAGTTACCTATTATATGCCTTCTCGTTTTTGCTACATGTATAATTCTGTGAACAGGAGGGAGGTGTCTACAAAGCCCCCCCCCATTTTATGTTGATCATGGTATGGAGCTAAAGATTTCATCAGATTCTTATAGGGGCCATACCTCTAAGAGGGCCAAACCATAACTCTAGGCAATTTTCCCAGTTGAAACACACACACACACACACACACACACACACACACACACACACACACATTTTAACTTTACATTTTTTTTTGGAGTCAGGGTTTCACTATGTAGCCACAACTGTCCCAAAACTCACTATGTAGACCAGGCTGGCCTCATACTTGCAGAAATTCACCTTCTTCTGCCTCTGGAGTGCTGAAATTAAAGACATATGCCACCATGCCCAACTCTGAAACATTTTATATTTGAATAGTACTTTTTGCCTTGTTTGTTTTTTGGTCTTTTTTGTTATTTTGTGTTTTTTATTTTTTATTTTTTTATTTTTTTGGAGCTGAGGACTGAACCCAGGGCCTTGTGCTTACTAGGTAAGCACTCTACCACTGAGCTAAATTCCCAACCCCTGAATAGTACTTTTTATATTTAAAAGGACTATTAGACTTTTAGTTTTTGAATCTTCACAAAGACTCTCAGGAAAGTAAGACAAAGATTACCATCTTTTTTTTTTTTAATGTTTATGAGTGTTTTGCCTGTATTTATGTAAGTGCATCATGTGCATGCAGTGCCATTGGAGGCCAGAAGAGGTATTGGAGTCCCAGAAACTGGAGTTACAGAAGGTTGTGATCTGCCATATGGGTGCTGGGAACTGAACCCAGGTCCTCTACAAGAGGAGCAAGGGCTTTTAACCATTTAACCTTGTCTCCAAGATTATAATCTTCAAGAAGTTAAATCACAGGCTACAGATAGTTAACACTGTAATCTGTATCTCTTGCTAATAAATCTTCTGAAAATTCTACATAAAGTCAGTTTTAGATCTTATTGAATTGGTACTGGGCGCAAAATGTCAAAACTCTTTAACTCCACTAAGGGGAGGGGCCAGTTATATTAGTAACTCTTGATAATGGTTTATTTTTTAATTTTTAAAAAATGTTCTGTGAACATATCTTTGTGAGTTCGAGACTAACCTGGTTATATAGTGAGTTCCAGGCCAGCTGGGGCTACAGGGACACTCTGTCTCAAAAAAGACAAAAAAAATATATGTGTATGAGTATACTGCCTATATGTGTGTAATTTCACCCATGTCATGCAATGCCTGTAGAAGTCAGAAGAAGGCATTGAATCCCCTGGAGCTGGAGTTACAGATAGTTCGTAGCTGCCATGTGGGCATTGGGAATTGAACCTAGGTCCTCTGCAAGAGCAGCCAGTGCTCTTAACCTGCTGATCCATCTCTCCAGCCTTGGTTGGGTGGTTTTAAAACAGGGTTTCACTATGTAGCACTGGCTGGGCCTTGAACTCACATGCCTACCTCTGTTTCCCAAGTGCTGGGAAAAGCAGGCACCACCTCACTTGGCTCTTGAATAGCTGCTTTGCTTGGAATTGCTCTAAAAAGCAATGAGGCCATTGATGGGTAGTAGAATAGGTATTGATTCTTTTTTGCCCACATGGAAGCTGGCTAATGAATTTGTGTACACATGTATTATATGTGTCATTCTTGTTATCCTCCATTTCATTCTTTTTAAATTGAGTTATACTGTGGTAAATGCGGGGTCATTCAGGAACAGGCTCTCATGTGGCACCCTCCATAGACTCCCAGTATTGCAGGTCAATGAAGTGGCTCTTTGGGAACTCACCCTGAGACAAGGTGAGAAGTGTAGGTTTGAGGTCCGAGGCATAGGTTTAGAATCTCTGGGGAGTGGATCTCTTCAGTTTTGTGAGTGATTCTAATGGTCAGGTAGTTTGAGAACTATACAGTGAGTTTCCTCTTCCTAACATATGGACACTTGAAAATTTGCTGAGTGAATCTAATCCTTCCCAGCATAGGATGTTGAAGTGCAGCAATACTTCCTCTAGTGTACTCTAGGACATCAATAAACCACTTTGGCTCAACAAATGTTGGTTGATTCAGTCCCACTGGATGTGTTAATGGGAATACTGACATTTATCCCAGCTTCCTTGGCATTTAATTGCTATAATGTGGTCTTTGAACCCCAGGCTCATTTCTATACATACTTCTCTTTTTAAAAAATTCTTTTGTTTTGTTTTGTTTTTTGAGACAGGGTCTCCCTGTAGCACCAGCTTGCCTGGAACTCAGTATGGAGACCAGGGTGGCCTTGAACTCACAGAGATCCACCTGCCTCTGTCTCCCAAGTGCTGGGATTAATCTTTAAAAAGTTTTTAAAATTACATGTATTGATTGATTGATTGATTGTGTGTGTGTGTTTGTTTTACATGCCATAGTGGCAATTTGCAAGAGTTTTCTCCTTTCACCATGTGGGTCCTGGGCATCCAACTCAGGTCATTGGGCTTGGTAGCAATTACCTTAACCTACATGGCAATCTTGCCAGTACCAGTCATACTTTTCTTAATGAGTGGAACTGGGTTTAGCTATGGAATTGTAAAGAATGTGGCCAGGGCTCCTTCCCAGAAACTGTCTATAATGGGACACATAGATGCAATAGAAAGTGTGTAGATTCAGAAATTTAGTAGACTCCCAACTATTGAGCAACTGAGGACTTAAACTGGTAAGGTTAGACTTGTGATTTGGAACGCCTTCCAAACCAGTTTTTTGGTGGGGCTGTGAATCATTTGGAAATTTATCTTTATCAGAGTCAGTTTATATCAAAATGCTTGAAGTCTACTATAGATAAGTATTTGAATCAGGCAAATAGTCACAATGAGCTACCTACACACATAGACAGGGTAAGTCCCTGATTTTTTTTATCCTTGACACTTGCGAATTTGCTTTGTGATTTGGAGACAGCTGTCCACTCTCCTTAGAAATCTCAGCATCTTTGCTGTTTCAGACACAGCTGTTTAAGGACGGAAGGAACTGAAGGGAACCGGGGAACAGATTGCCTTTGTGCTTCATTGACGTGTGGTGATTTCAGATTTCAGTTCATTCCTATGCTTTCTTTTAGGCACTGGCTTGCCCGAGAATATGTCTGGTTTTTTATTCCATACATGATCTATGACTGCTATGCCATGTACTTCTGTGAATGGTGCCGAACCAGAGACCAGAACCTCAGACGCTCCACGCTTTTCCGAAACTTCCTGATTGAAAATCGCCTCATGCTCACACATCATATGGTTATTCTGTTTGTCCTAGTGCCCATTACACAGGTATGACCTTGCAGGACAGCAGCCTTGGCTTTCACCCACTTTCTGCCATTGAACTGGGTACCGTGACCATTCTTTAGGAGTTAGGAGAGCCCCCTTTCTTCCCTTTGCATTACACCCATCTTCCTTCTGCTAACTATTTCATTCTATTTAGTCCCCATGCAAATAGTGGAGGAAAACCATTCAAGGTGAAATGTTTGTGATTTTCATAACCAATTATTTTTGCAGTACCAGGATCAAACTAGAATTTCATGCACCACTGAGCTGTTTGCTTTTTTAAAATAAAATTTTTAAAAATATTTTATTATTTTTATGTGTATGAGTGTAATGCCTGCATGTATGTAAGTGCACCCATGTCATGGAATGCCCACGGAGGTCAGAAGAGGGTTTTGGATCCCCCTAGAACTGGAGTTATGGATGGTTGTCAGCTGTCATGTGGGTGCTGGGAATTGAACCTGGGTCCTCTGCAAAAGCAGTCAGTGCTCTTAATGGCTGAACCATCTCTCCAGCACCTCCCCTTTTTAAAATTTTTTGAAAATTTATTTTTATTTTATGTGTATGAGTATCTTCCCTGCATGTATGTAAGTGAACCACATGCATACAATGCCCCTGGAGGTCAGAATAAGGAGCTAGATCCCCTGGAAATGGAGCTAAGGATGGGTGTTGGCCACTGTGTAGGTGCTGGGAAGAGAAACTTAGTCTTAGGCACTAAGCCATCTCTCAGTCCCCACTTTTAAAACACTTCTAAAAGATTTATTATTTTTAAATTATGTGTATGTATGTGTGTGTTTTTGTATGTGGTTATGTGCACATGAGTGCAGGTGCCCCTTGGAGGCCAGAAGAGGACATCAGGTCCCTCCCTAGAACTGATCCCCTGTAAACTCCAACATGGGTGCTGGGAACCAAACTTGGGTCCTTTGGAAGAGAGCAGCAAGTGTTCTTAACCACTGAACCATCTCTTCAGTCCCATTATTTCTCTTTAAATGATCCCTTAACCCTCTGAGTCCTTAACATTTATTAAAGTTTCTGTCTATAGTTTGATACAATAGAAAATGGATATAAATGGAAAAATGTTATAAAATACAAATGCAACATGAAACAGTGCCAGAGGATACTGGTGTAATACACTCAGCTACAGAAACAGATTCTCCAAATAAAGCACCTCATCATTTTTCTCCAGCTCTTTAGAAATTTTTCCCATTAAAGATGCACCCAGTTAAAAAAAAAGGGGGGGGGAGGGGATAGAGAGGCTGGAGAGATGGCTGAGTGGTTAAGAGCACTGGCTGCTCTTGCAGAGGACACGGGTTTGGTTTCTAGCACCCACATGGTAGCTAACAAGGAGATGTGACACCATCTTCTGATCTGATCTCTATGGCATTGCATGACATGGGTGCACTTACACACATGCAGGCAATACACTCATACACATAAAATTAAAACAATTTAAAAAAAAAAAAAAAGGAATGAGGAGCTGGACGTGGTGGTGCACGCCTTCAATCCCAGCACTTGGGAGGCAGAGGCAGGCGGATCTCTGTGAGTTCAAGGCCAGCCTGGTCTACATAGTGAGTTCCAGGACAGCTGGGGCTACAGGGAGACCCTGTCTCAAAAAGACCGAAAAAAAAAAAAAAAAAAAAGGAATGAGGAGGAAGCCTGTGGTAAGGTGGCTCAGCTGGTAAAAGCAGTTACTGCCAAGCCCAAGGACCTGAGTTTGATCACTGAGACCCACATGGTAGAAGGAGAAAACTGACTTCTGCCAGTTATCTTTTGCCCACCACATGTACACCACATCATGTGCCTTCCCATACTCACAAACGTTTTTTAATAAAGGGGTGAGAAGTGGGGGCTGAAGAGATGGCTTAAGTAGTTAAGAGCATTGGCTGCTCTTGCAGAGGACCCGGGTTCAGTTCCCAACACCCACATGACAGCCCACAACTGTTTGTCATTTCAGTTCCAGGGATCCAGTGCCTCTTCTTGACCTCAGGGGGTTAGGTACACTCACATGCATGTACATAAAACACTCTCATATACATACGAATAAACCTTTTTTTTTTTTTTTTTTTTTGTCTTTTTGAGACAGGTCTCTCTGTAGCTCCAGCTGGCCTGGAACTTGCTATCTAGACCAGGCTGGCCTAGAACTCACAAAAATTTACCTGTCTCTCTCTCCCAAGTGCTGGGATTAAAGGCATGTACCACCATGTCCAGCTTAAAAAAAAATAAATTTTTTAAAAGTGGGAGAAGGCTGGAGAGATGGCTCAGAGGTTAAGAACATTTGCTGCTCTTACAGAGGACCCAAATTTGATTCTCAGCATGCCTCTGCCTCCTGAGTGCTGGGACTAAAGGCGTGCACTACTACACTTGGCTAATAAATGCAATTTTAAAAATAAAATAAAGGGGCTGGAGGGATAGCTCATTGGTTAAAAGCACTGGCTATTCTTGCAGAAAACCTGTGTTCAGTTCCTAGCACCTACATGGTGGCTAACAGCTATCCATAACTCCAGTTCCAGGGGATCCAGTGCCTTCTTCCAGCCTCTGTGGGTGTTGCATGACATGGGTGCACTTACATGCAGACAAAACACTCACACACATAAATTTTGCCTCCTGAGTGCTGAGATTTCAAGCATGTGCCACCACATCAAGCATTGTGGGTTTTTTTTTTTAAGTTTTTTTTTGTGGTCTTTTTGAGACAGGGTCTCCCTGTAGCCCCAGCTGTCCTGGAACTCACTATGTAGACCAGGCTGGCCTTGAACTCACAGAGATCTGCCTGCCTCTGCCTCCAGGCGTGCACCCCCCATGCCCGGCTAAGATTTATTTTTAAATAAGGTCCTCTATGAGAACAGCCAGGCCTCTTAACTTCAGAGTCATCTCTCCAGTCCCCCTTCTTCCTCTTCTTCCTTCTCATCCTCCCACTCCTTACCTACCTCCTCCTCTTCTTCCTCCCCTTCATCATCCCCCTTCTTCTTCCTCCTTCTTCTCCTCCTCTTCTTCCTCCTGAGTCATTTCTCCAGCCTGTTTCTTTCTTTTTTTTACATTTGTGTGTGTGTGTGTGTGTGCATGTGCGCGCACATGCCTGTGTGGAGATCAAAGGACAACTTGCTGGAGTTCTCTCCTTCCATTACATGGGTCCTTGGGGGTTGAAGTCTTCAGGCATGGAGGTAAGAGCCTTTACCTGTTGAGCCATCTCTCTGGCCTCCTGAGTTTTCTTATCCCACTGTGTGGAGATCAAAGGACAACTTGCTGGAGTCCTCTCCTTCCATTACATGGGTCCTTGGCGGTTGAACTCAGGTCTTCAGGCGTGGAGGTAAGAGCCTTTACCTGTTGAGCCATCTCTCTGGCCCCCTGAGTTTTCTTATCCCAGTGTAACTGAGTGAGAGTAGGTGTTTTACCAAATAGACTACTGTCTGGTAAGGGGTACTCTATTTCTTAAGGACTTTACCTTCTAGTGCATACTCTGTTGAGCTGAACAGGCTTGGTGCCTTTGGCATGACTTTAGATGCCCTTCAGAGGCTACAGAGGCCTGTTGTCACTAAATTCAGAGGAAGCCTGTTACATTTGCCTCTGGACCCTTGGAACTACCTCCTGCAAAATGATTGCCAGGGAAGCAGTAGGATATCAACTGGATGGACCCTTCCCTGTTAGCATTTTTTCCCCTTCAGGATCTTTCATGGTTACCCTTTTCTAGTAGCTCTAGGTAAGATTTTCTTTCCAGTGGTTTCTTTCTTTTTCCTTTTTTGTTTTTGTTTTTGTGATACAGGTCTTACTGTGTAGCCCTGGCTGTCCTGGAACTCACTATGTAGACCAGCTGGCCTCAAACTCACAGAGATCATTGTGCCTCCGCTTCCTAAGTAGTGGGATTAAAGGTAGGTGCCACCACACTTGGCTTAGTAGTTTCCTAATTTCTACTTCTTAGTCCCTTTTTCTTTTCATCTGCAGAAACTCCGGGGAGAGCTTGGAGACTTCTTTGTCGGCTGCATCTTCACGGCAGAACTGAGCACTCCATTTGTGTCGCTGGGCAGAGTTCTGATTCAGGTATGTATGAGTGAAATAATAGGAGGAGGAGGAGGAGACTGAGGTTTGGAGAAATTTTTTTTTAATGTGTATATGTGTATTTTTTTTTTTTTTTTTTTTTGCCTGCCTGTATATAAGTTCATCTATGTTATATAATGCCTACAGAGGCCAGAAGAGGGCATCAGATCCTCTGGAACTGGAATTACAGATGGTTAGCCACCATGTGGGTGCTGGGAACTGGACCATGGTCCTCTGGAAGAGCAGCCAGTGCTTTTAACCACTGAGCCATCTCTCCAGTCCCTAGAGAAATCCTTTAATGTTAGAAGACCTTTGACAGATCAGTTCATCATCCAAGCCAAGTGGATGAAATTGTTGCTCTGACTCACATTTGATATACATCATTATATTGTTTTCCTGGCCAGTTTCCTCTAATCCATTTTCTTATAGTCTTATGAGATGGGTGGCTTAGTTTAAATTCAGCAGTACTCTTGGTAAAACTATCAGGTTATATGGTTATATAAATCCAAGAGTATGGGCTGGGGAGATGGCTCAGTGGGCAAGAGCACTTGCTGTACAGGCATGGCGACCTGAATCTGAATCTCTATCACCCACATAAAAGCTGGCCATGGCTGTGTTGGCCAGCCTAGATAAAGTTTAGTTTAGACTTGTCTCAAGGGAATACAGCAGAGAGTGATAGAGGAAGACACCCAGCATCCTCCTCTGTCCTCCACATGCACATGCATGGGTATGTACTTGTACACACATACTCCACACACAAACCCAACAGTGCTCAATAATTTTTTTCTACAAATGTCAGAGACCTAGAGAATGTAAATACCAAGCAGATTTTTAAAAGACTTACGTATGGGGGTAGGTTTGCACACATGTGCAGGTACCCACAGAAGTGTCAGATCCTCTGGAGCTGGAGCATCTGTGAGCCACTGGGAACTGAACTCAAGTCACAAAAGCGGTATATGCTCTTAACCACTAAGCCATCCTCCAGCCCTGTGGTGTGACAAGCAGTTTGACAGTATAGGCTTGACTTATACATGAATCTACTTTTGTCCTTTATTGCTGTGAGGCTCAGCTCATCGTGCCCCGATGCCCCCGTGCTCTTGGTGACCTTGCATTCTCCTTCCCTTCCTCTTGCAGCTAAAGCAGCAGCACACCCTTCTCTACAAAGTGAATGGAGTCCTCACGCTGACCACCTTCCTTTTGTGCCGGATCCTCCTTTTTCCCTTCATGTACTGGTCCTATGGCCAACAGAAAGGACTAAGCCTGCTCCGAGTGCCATTTAACATTCCTTTACACTGCAATGTGGCCAATGCCTTCCTCATCTCTCCTCAGCTCTACTGGTTCTTTCTGCTGTGCAAGAAGGCAGCCCGGCTCTTTGACACTGCCAATGCCAAAAAGGATGGTTAATCACTCCCAGGAGTCAGGCAGTAAGCATGTCTCCTCACAGTAGCTGCCTCTCCTTACTCAGTATTCCAAGGACCAAATTGTACCTGGGGTGGCCCGAACATTTTGGGTATTGATAAGCAGATGGATTTGAGGCTTGCTAAAACAAAAAACAAAATTCCTATTACCTCACTCTTCTAACCCCCTTTTACAAAAGCACTTTTTTCTTGGTAACAACTTTTGGGTCCTGTCAGACCTCTACTGCAAGGTAGCTTTAATGCTAGCCCAAGGATGCTTCCTTGGGTCGATCTGAAGAGCTCTGGGAGGTGAAGCACTGCTACCCCTTTCCCAACCACTCAGGGCAACATCCACAATACTGGACCAGCAGAAGCAAGTGATGACTTGGCTCATGAAATAGTGTTATTTTGCAATGCTAGAAAAATCATTGTGGGTATACAGTTTTTTAACTAGACAGCCCTCATCCTCTCAACTGTACATCAACAGTGAATTCTCATTCCTATTGACTTCAGTTAGAAGGGCCAACAGCAGGCAGGAGGCAGGGCTGGGAACCTGAGGCATGAATAGGTCAGGAGGCCAGTCCCTTTGCAACCTGACTTGGTATAAAGACCAGTATCAAACTTGTGGCTTCCATAGTGATTTCCCACTCTGATGCTGTCCTTCTTATACAAAATGGAAAGACTTCTGTGCTCCTGAGAGGTCTTATCCAGGCCAGAGGACTTCTCCTGATAAGCCAGGCCCATTTCTATGTTGAATGTACTGCAATTTAGCCACAGAAGGCTAGAGAGGGTGGCCAAACCGGCCAAAGCATGTCTTGTGGACCAACACCATCAATGGTTTACAAATAGGATCTGGTGCAACACTAACCATTCCTTGCCAACAGGATGTGTTTGGGAGAACCTGCTAGCACTTCTTTGAAGCAGTAGTAAAAGACAACCCTGCAAGGTTGTTTCAAGTGCCTTATAATTCACTGTCCATGAACTTTTAAACGACTAAATGATTATGTCTCAAATTTTGACAGTTTTGGTCTTTAATAGGTGCCATTTAAAAACCATAAAATGCTGTTTTGTGTACTGTCAGTGTATCCACAAGTTATCCATGTAGCGATTAAATTGCACTAATGTCTCTATTTGTGAAGTACACTGGCACTACCTTTAAGAACCATCCTGGGGGCTGGAGAGATGGCTCAGAGGTTAAGAGCACTGACTGCTCTTGCAGAGGACCTGGGTTCAATTCCCAGCACCCACATGGCGGCTACGAACTGTCCTTAACTCCAGTTCCAGGGGAATCTGACACCCTCTTCTGACCTTCGTGGCACTGCATGACACAGTACACTCACATACATTCAAGCAATACACTTCATACACATAATTTTTAAAAAAATTAAAAAAAAAAAAAACATCCTGAGGATTGGGAGTGGTGGCGCAAGCCTTTAATCCCTACACTTGAGTTTGAGGCCAGCCTGGTCTATATAGCCAGTTCCAGGCCAGCTGGGACTACAGGGAGACCGTGTCAAAAAAAATCAACAGAAGGAACCATTCTGAGACCTTTGGTGGATTGATGGCTGCTGTGTTGAATAGTTCCTGGTCTATGCATCACATGTGACTGGTCTCCAGTCATGGTCTCCTCAACTCATATAGTCCAATACATTGGTTCAAGGTACTAAGAATACATGAAGGTGCCCAGAGTTCAACCTTAGTGTTCAAGATCCCAATTAGGAATCAGGAGAATGGAAGCCTATTGGCTACAGAACAGTTTAATTTAGGTCGGGGGAAAAGCACCTAAGTAGTGATCCATTTTGAATGAGGGTGTGGATATGCAAGTGATGGGACCTTTTTTCTCCTCCCAAAATGATACCTCCCCAACCAGTTCTTAGAGTTGTGTTAATAATACACTAGAAACCTTACACTGTTCATTTTTACGCTTCTGCACACATTGTTCCCTATCCCACTCATTCATCAAAACCAAGACAACCCCACCCTAGGCAGAAAGTAGCTTTCTCCATCCTCCAGGGTGACTGGGGTTAGCATGGCCCCTCCTGGGTGTGCTGAACAGATGGTTACTAGCCCCTTGACACCTGGTATTTCTTGGTTCAATCCTTTTATAAAGGTGCAAGCCTTTTCAGCACAGGTCACAACCAATCAGGCAGAGCCAGCACTAAAAGAGCCCCTTTCCACATGTTCCCTGATACACTTGGGAAAAGATACAATGTTGAAATGACTTTGAGTCAGGATCTTGCTGCAGTCCAGCTTACCTTGAACTCACAATGCTCCTACTTCAGCTGCCAAGTGCTGGGATTATAGGCATGCAGCCTATAAGAGTCTCCAAGAAAATATCACATCCCAGCTGGGCATGGTGGTGCACGACTTTAATCTCAGCACTTGGGAGGCAGAGGAAGGCAGGATCTCTGTGAAAGCAAGGCCCTCCTGGTCTATATAGCTAGTTCTAGGTCAGCTAGGAGACCCTGTCTCAAAAAAACAAAAAGATCACATCCCTTCTATTTTGTTCTACTTGGCAGTTCTACTTTTGGGCTTACTGCCAAACCTAGGTAGAGAATTTCAGTTATGAACATGTTGTTCCCCATCTTTTTTTTTTTTTTTTAAACTTTGGTTTTGAGACAGGATCTCAATGGAGCCCAGGCTGCCATCCCTCTGCCTCAGTCTCCCAAATACTGGTACTACTGGTGTGCACTCCCATACCTGTCCCACTGGCTTAACCTGATCATAAAGCCTATCTAAACCTAACTTTGGGCATATTTAATCCTAAACTATTGCTAAGAAAGGCTCAAGACAAGAAAGCCCAAAGAGAGAATTTTATTGCAGTATGTCCCATATACCTACTAAACTATTTTCTTTACACTGCTCTTGCCATATATTCCTTTCATCATGTGTACAGTCTTAGATAACTGTGAAGTTTGTGCTTCTTAGCTCTAGATCCCACAGAAACACCATGTTGGGATGCAGCTGTTTTCTATCCCCAAAAGGTTAGAAGTTGTTGATCTTCTGTAGCAGGGTCTGGCGCCGCTCCTCTGGGCTAATGTTCTTGGCAATGGACTTTAGGAAGTGTCGCTCATCTGTCTTGTGGAGCAAGGAACTGCTGGAAGAGTTGGTCTTGCTTAGGGTTTCATAGCAGGTGAGGATTTCCAAGGCCAACACATAGAGTGGCTCACAGACCTCCTGGGGAAGCATGGCCATGATGTGTAGAATGTGACAGAACATCTGGGTATAGACAAACAAGGTTTCCTGGGTCAGGTCCCCCTCTTGTCCTTGGGCCCAGGGGCTCACCGACTGTATCGACCTAACTACATCCAGGACACGGGTCAGACTGCTACAGAGGAGTTTGACCACATGGCTCCAGCCATCCATGGGAAGCCAGTTAGAACAGCTCTGGCTGCAGAGAAATTGGAATGCTCTTAGAGAGAGGATGGAGAGTTGGAGCTCCTGGGCAAAGGGCTTCAGGTTGAGCAGGGGAACAAACTGAATATATTCTAGGCTGTAAGGGACATGTAAGAGCTCTTTCTCTAATAGCTTCCTGGTCAAATGCTGAAGGTACTGCCATTCCTGGGGGCTGCACCAAGGCATGACTTGAACCAGGGCCACTAGAAAGCCCTTGCTGAACAATCTGACCTCCTCCGGATTGCCCACATCCACCACCAGGAGAGAGAGCATCTGTTCAGAGACACTGCTGGAGATGGAGCAGCACTCCATCCAAGCAAGAAGCCCCGTACCTGGCCCATACCCTGCATGGGCCTGCGAGGTCCACTGGGCCCCAGGAAGCTTACAGATCTCAAAAAGAGTGGATGGCACGTCACATTTGAAATGGCCTTCAAAGAAGTTCTTCAGTCTCAGGCCTACAGTCCAGTCCAGCTGCTCCAGCTTGCGGTGGAGCCAGGACAGGGACTTGACCCAGGTGTCTGGGGAGAAGGTCTCAGTGTTGGCCAGCACAATTTCACACAGAAGTTCCAAGATGTGGATCAGGAGATCCTTGCTGTCCAGGGAGAGGCACCGCTTCTCCTGGGGGAGCTGCCAGTACCTGCTAAAGCTGTCCAGGAGCCGGCACAAGCTGAAGAGCAGTGGGAATGGGGAACAGGTGTGCAGCCAATACTCCTCCAAGTCTGCACTGGCTTCAAGAGTCTGGATGAACAGCTTCAGACTCAGACCTACCTCCTCCACATCCAGCATCAAGAACGGCAGGACAAACTCCTTCAACACCTCATCTGGCTGTAGAAGAGCAGCAACTGGAATCCCCTGTGGTTTCACAGGAGTCATCAGGCAGCTCACCAGCTCCAGAAATTGCTTCTCTTCTTTGGGTGTAGAGAACTTTGTCCAGACTGTTTCTCTGAGGCAGGATACCATGAAAGTGGTGGGTGGATTTGGCCCTTGCTCTTCAGTGAACCTCAGGGCAGGGAAGGCAGTTAGAATCTGAGCTAGGAACCGGTGTGTGCCAAGATTAACCACAGCCATGCTGCACATCTTCTTAATGGTGATTTCTGGGTGCTGGATCACCAGGCGGCCTACAGAGGCCACGGCTTTAGCAAGGCCCTGTTCGGACGTGCTCTGCGTGAGCTGGTTAAACGTCATGTTGAGGTCTTCCTGAAAACCCTCCAAATAAACTGACAACCTGTCCAAAAGGCCTTTTCGTCCCCAGCAATGTAGGACACCAGAAAGGACTTTGTTTTTGTCTGGTAGGGAGAGGTCTGCATAGCATTCCAGGGTCAGGTCAATCACCTGCTTGATCTGAGACTGGGGGATGACCCTGTCAGTGGCAATGACATCTATCACCATTTCCAGCAGACTCAAGACCAAGTCTGGTTCTCTGAAGAGAGACCTGTTGTTAACCAGGCAGGCCACCCACTCATCTGAGAAGGCCCACTTCTTCTCAGAAGCAAAAATATAGCACATTTCCATGTGCCGGTCCATCTTCTGCTCAATGATGGCCATGGCAATAGAGGCAGTGATGTCCTCAAGGCCCTTGTTGTTCAGCGCCCTGTTGGTTTTCTTCAGGAAGTCCCTGACATGCTCAGCCAGTTCAGAGATCACCTGCCTCTCCTCCTTGGACACGCTGGCAGTATCCAGATAGAGATTCAAGTTCTGGCAGAAGGAAGTTAGACTGTCATACAGCCGGTAGCTGTCATAATTGGTCCCCTGGTTGTTGTTGAGCATGGCCTGCAACTCTGAGCCCCACTCCTGCAGCAGGTTGTGCATGAGCTCAAACCCCATGAAAACAGTCTCACTGGGGAGTTTGGCCAGAGAGGTGAGGCTTATGTCCCGCTCTGCCTCCTTCACCTTCTCTGCAAGGGCGTGCTGATGATATGGGTTTTGGGTGTCCGAATTCCATACAGAGATCACTGTGGCCAGTTTGTCTAGATACATGGTGGCAGACACTTCCTGGGGATCGTCCTCCATTAGCGCAAACACGCTCAGCATGTCAGCCAAGTTAGCTAAGGCACAGCACTTCATCCCAAGGCACAGGATTCTCTTCTGCATTTGCTTCAGCCCATTAAGCAGCATGGCTAATAGTGGCATGGTCGGACCCACATCCGGGTCAGACTTGAACCTCTTTGGAGGGTGGGAGAACTCATCTGAAGATGGCAAGTATTTATAAGCCATCATCCTGAACTGGGAAAGCAAGGGGTCCTGCTGGTTACCCTTATGCTTCATCATTTCCCACCAGACATTCAGAAAGAAGGCCACATCCTTGGAAGAAGTATCAATAGTCATGTGCTCCAAAAAGTGCTGTAGTTCTGAGCGGCAAATGGTGGTAGGCAGGGCCATGAGGAGTTGAATGAAGAGTCCAGAAGCTTCCAGAGACTTGAGTAGCTCAAAAAGGACTGTGTGATTGATGGTAGGGATCATGTTGCCCACAGAGAAAAACACATCTTCCTGCCACCGAGTTTCAGTGTCAGAAGGAGTAACAGGGGAGGGCAGAAGGACCTTGGCCCAGATAATGATCAGTGCTTTCTTCTTCCAGGCAAATGGCTGGGAATGTGCTGTGGCTGAGGAGATCTCCCTCAAGGCCTCCACAATGGGCTGCCCCACATGTTCCCAGTCAGACTTTGTCAACTGCACCAGTGCTTTGGGGTGGAACAGCTGCTCAGCCAGCAAAAAGCCCCCATGCAGAATGGTCATTTCCTCACAGATATTCAAGGGTCCTGCACAGAGAAGCCAAGAAAGAGTTAGAGAAAAGTTTTCAAAACATAGAAATCCAGGCATGGTGGCACTTATTTTTAATCCCAGCACTTGGGGGCGGGGGCAGAGGCAGGTGGATCTCTGTGAGTTCGAGACCAGACTGGTCTCCATAGTGAATCCAGGCCAGCTGTGGCTACAGGCTCAAAAAGACCAAAAAATCAGAACAAAACAACAAAAAAACAGTAAGCAGAGATTGATAAACAGAACCAATGGTTGGCTATCATTTCCAAGGTTCGAGACAATAAGGTTTTGAATGATTTCAGTAAGAGGGGAAGAAGGAATGGTTAACAAGAGCTTCTGTAGAGCTGGACCATCAGGACTTGGCTGAGGAATAGGAAATAGCTTCCAACATCTCTTGCCTGGGCACTGAGAGGACAATGGACAGGTACCATTAGAAATGAAAGGCAGAGAAGCTCAGAACAGGTTCAGAGGGTCACTTGGAGCCCAAGGGGGAGCATTTAGGATTTAGCATTTAGGGAATCATTGCATTGATTCCATCAATGGCATTGAGTCAGGAGAAAAGACCAGAGTATGGGCGGTGCCTGCCCAGCAAGGTTCATGGGAACCAAGGGAGTGACTAAGACTTCCCCCCAGGAAGAACATGAAGAGGAAAGCTGGACTTAGGGAGCTAAAGTAGAGGATTAGGGAGAATAGGCTAGGAGAGACAGCATAAGGTCAGGGTTGAACTGCTGGGTCAAGTATGTATTAGAAAACCTGACAAGGGCAGGCAAGATGGCTCAGTGGGTAAAGGCACATGCTGCCAAGCCTGATTACTTGGGTTTGATTCCCCAGACCCACATGATAGGACAAAACCAACTTCTACAAGCTGTCTTCTGACTTCCACACATACAGTATGGCACATGCACATCCCCACATACCCCCAAGTAAAAATGTCTGAAAAAAGACAACTGAGCTTTTCAATGATGGTACAGATGAAGGAGGGTGCAACCCTGGCGATGGGTACAGAGCCTTTTTTTTTTTTTTTGAGACAGAATCTTTATATCTGGCGGGCCTGAAACTCACTGTGTAGACTGGGCTGGCTTTGAATTCAGAAATCTGCCTACCTCTGCCTCTTGAGTGCTGGGATTAAAAGTATGCATCACTATAATCAGCTGTACCTGTTTTTGAAACTGGGGCCTTGCACATACCAGTTAAGCACTCTATCACTGAGCTGTATACCCAGCCCTGCCTTCCTTCTTTTTAAACTCTTGCCAGCAGGTTTCAACATTCTTCTGCCTTTCAAGGAAAAGGTTCACTTTTAGTTTCTTCCACTCAAGATAAGCTACTGACGGTCCTGGCTCTGTGGCAGAAACCAGGGAGTAGATACAATAAATACTGTACTACATTAGGAAAGCAGTTACTCCTTGAGTCAAGAATTTTACAAAATTTTAAAGGAAGGCGATGTGGGAGTTTAATCAGGCAATGGATTTAAATCCTAGCTCAGTCATTCAAAAGTGATATGACTTTGGAGATCACTGTCTGAGCCTCCACTCTGCATACATAATACAGTCTTCATGGTATAACCACAAGGATCAAATGACACATACTAGTCACACTTTTAGAACTACACTGGTGTTGTTACCTTCTTGTAACATCTCCCAAGGACGGGAGAAGGGAAGGGTTAAATACCTTATCTCAACAATAATCAAGAGCCTAGTTTAAATGTGCAATTGCTGGCAAGACCAGACTCTCCTCACTATTCCTTGTCTCCTCCAGCACAGAAACAGGAAAGGACACAGGTCTTTATCAAGGTGTTTCCTGTGGCATAGAAACTAAATTCAGAGTGCAAATAGTGCTCACTGTTCCTTTCCCCCTTTCCCAGGGCCCAGAGCTGCTAGCCTTTCCTCAGTCCCTTATGCTCCCAACAACTTATGTTTCCCATTTTCACAGGCTATGGAGTAGGAATGAAAATAAAATACTGACTCCAGGAAAATAATGAATCTCCTGGCTACTATTTCTTGGCACACAAAAGGCCAAGAAGCAGCACTCCAACACAATCCACCTGTGAAGGCAACTACCCTGGCTTCCAGTGAGAGACTTACAGAGCTAGGTGGATGTGGGAGAGTTCTGAGAATCAGGGCCCTTCTTTTTGGCTCAGGCAGCTCTGCTTGGGCCCCAATATATATTCCCTTACAAACTAACTGTAAATTCAATTTCATTGCACTTAATCAGCCTCAGTTGAGGAAATGTCTGCTCCCAAATATCTGCCTTTCAGACACTAAGTACTGCTGCTTGTAAAAGACCCAAGAGCATACAATAGCTGGGGATAACTCAAAGGCTTTATTAGGAATAGTTAGGTGGTGCTAGTTAAATGCCTGGTTACTCTAGAAGACAGGAAGCTTAGGTCTTAGGGAAGAGGGGCAGACAGGGTCTTGTTAGGTAGTCATGGCTGGCCTGAAACTATAAACCAGGTTGGCCTAGAAGTCTTGGGTCTGTCTCCAGAGTACTGGAGTTACCAGCATGTTCTACAATGCTCAGCTTTACACCTATACAATTATTTGACCTTCAAAATAACTTAATGAAGACGATTACTACTGTTTTAGAGATGGAAACCTCGAGGTCCAGCCATAATTTGCTCAGTGTCAAAACCCGGATGGTTGGGCTGAGGCAGAAATTCTCAACCGCTGCAGGCCTCGAAACTACCATTCCACTTTACAGCTGGCTGACAGAGACCACATTTCTCTACAGCCTATTATCTTGTGGCACCTCCCCATTCTTACCCTCGAAGGAGCACACCTAGCAGGGTGGGGAGAAGGCTTAGCATTGAGCCATCAATTTCTATCACCTCCGTCCTCCCTCTTTCAGACCTCGCTTACAAGGGCTCCCAACTAAGTTGGACTCATTTTCAAAGAGTGCCATCCCAGCCACTGAGACCCCTTCCCCACAAACAAGAGCTAGTGTCTTGGTAAGGAATCCTGTTATACACGTGGTCGCAGTATACTCCCCAGAACTCTGGGAGAGGGCAGTATCAGCGTCTCCGCCTTATGGACCAGATCTGGTAAGAAAGTTGTTCCTGAACTTAGTAGTCATTCAGTAAGGGAGGACGGTAGGGACATCCGTGAGTCCCCAGGGCTTCCGAGCCCGGCATTTCCCAAGCACGTGCGATGGACCCGGCTACTTTCAAGGGATCCAACTCTACACACGCTCGGGGATTTTCTCTGCAAAGGGGCCAAGGGAGACAAGAGACGAGATCCGCCACGTTGCGGAGGGGCTGTGGCGGGAGGCCGGCCTGCCGGCCCCTGGTCTCTAAGGACACCCCTAGCCCTCAGCCTCCTCAGCCGGGAGGACTTACTGTGCCCGGGCCGGCTCAGGCGTGAGTCCCGGGAGCAGCACCAGCTCCAGACCGCCCTGGAGGTGCGTTGCGGGGCGCAGCCCAGTGGCCCGAGTGCGGAAGCGGGAACCCACCTAGGTCCATGGCGGCGAAGCAGGCGACGGCGCTAAGCCGCCCCGCCCACTGCGAGGCTCAGAAGCGCGTCGCCCGCGCCACGGCACAATGGGCGGTGCCACAGGTCGCGTCACAGGCCCCGCCCCCAGCCTCGCCTCCGCTCCCGCAGCCGCAGACTAGCCTACGTCCCCGCGCGCGCACACGCCTCTCCGGGTGTCCCAAGCCCACAGCGCCCCCGTTCGGCCGCAGGCTGCCCAGCAGTCAACCCGCAGGTACCAACAGGCCCCGAGCCCAGACAACTAGAGGCCAGGAGGGCCATCCATTAGTCGCTGGCCCCTGGTTCACACCGGTACCCAGCAACCCCGGCAGCACCCACTGCCCTTCCTCGGGCTGCCCCTAACCAGCAGCGGATCCGTGGGGCTCATCTTTCCCCCACCCAGGCCCACAGGCATACACAATTGTTCTATATACTATTTACGCTGCCCTGCCTCCTTTGGATCACAGCAGTGTAATTTTCGGAGCTCATAAGCACCTTTGGAAGTTTGAAGGGTAGTCGCTCTAGAAAATTCATGGTTGGGTAGGGCCAACCAAACTCGTAGTTTGCAACTTGTACTTTATAAAATACACACACAAACGCCTTGTCTTCTTCCCACACATTATTCCTTTTTCTCCCTTACGTATTTCCAACTCTACTAGCACTGGATAGCAACTAAAAAGGACAGAGAGGCCCAGCCTCTGCTACACTAATGAGCCAAGTGGAATTTGAAATGGCTTGTGCCTCCCTCAAGCAGCCGAAGGGTCCAGTGAGTGATCAAGAGAAACTGCTGGTGTACAGCTTCTACAAACAGGCCACCCAGGGCGACTGCAACATCCCCATCCCTCCAGCCACAGACGTGAGAGCAAAGGCCAAGTGGGAGGCCTGGAATGTGAACAAAGGGATGTCCAAGTTGGATGCCATGAGGATCTACATTTCTAAAGTGGAAGAGCTAAAGAAAAACAAAGCTTGCTAAGAACACTGCGAAGACAGGAGGAAGGTAGATGGCTCCAGTGGTAGAACGGGCTTCTTAAGAGAGCTTAATGGCTGAAGTACACTGAAAGGGTAACAAGGTTAGCTGGGACATCAATAAATCAGTTAAACTGCACGAGAGTCAAGTGGAAAAGAGAAATTCTATGAGGCTCCTGAGAGGTGTCCAAGAGCATAAAAGCACCGCTAGCATCTTTCTGCTGGGTAAAATTCCATTAATCTGGTTGGATTGGCATCCCTGTCCTTCTAGTCCCACAGCCTATGTAGGTATCTGGCAGAGAAGGGGATAGGTGAGGGGTGACTCATGCTGTGGAACGACCAAGGCTGGAAGTGGATGGTCTCTTTGGTGTCTGGGGACTTGGAGCTGTATCTTCAGAGGCTGCCAAGTCACCAATAACCCAACACTACGGGGGGGGGGGAAGGAGCTCTGTTTTTCAAAAAATAAGTCATAAAAAAAGAAAAACCCTCACTAGAACACAGACCCAGTGAAGTTAGTATTTTGATAGAACTCAAACTTTCTGTGGGGCCAGACATGGTGGCACATGCTTTTAATTCCGGCATTGTGGAGGCAGAGGCAGGTGGCTCTCTGTGAGCTTGAGGCCAGCCTGGTCTACATAGTGAGTTTCAGCGCAGTTATGACTACCAGGAGATGGTATCAAGAAACCGATGGAGGGGCAAGAAAAAAAAAAAAACTTTCAGTGATATAGTGGTAAAGTATACAGCTGCTGAGAAACAATGGAGGGAGATAGTTTCAGAATCCCAGCTTCTGAAAGACTCATCTAGGCCTGGCAACCTAAATTTCTTGGGGTTACTCTGTACCTAACTTGGGTTTCTGTTTGAGGCTTTGTGCGGGACAGTATGTATAGATATGCGCACATGGTTCATGCACGTGTCAGAGTATTATTTGCCAGCCACAGAGGCAGCAGTGCACAACCATTGTATGTATTGGCTGAAATAGTAAGTGCTAACTAGTGTTTGTTTAGAGGGAATTTTTTTAAAGGTTTTAGTTTATATGTGTGTGAGCCTGCATGAGTTTATGAGCACCACATGCATGCAGGTGCCTGGATAGGTGAGAAGAGAGCACCAGATCCCCTGGAGCTAGAGTTAGAGGTGGTTGTGAGTCATCTGATATGGGTGCTGGGTCCTCTGGAATACTGGAGTAGTTAGTGCTCTTAACTGCTGAGTCTATGCCACTAACGTTTTTTTTTTTAATTATTTTTATTTTACGTGTATGAGTACTAGTGTTTTTAAAGATATTATAGACAAGTAAGTCTGCAGTGGCATGACATTTCCCAGTAGTTTTCTTTGAAATTTATCTTCAGTCTGAGGTGTAGTTCAGTGGTAGAGCACTTGCCAAGCATGCATAAAAGCTCTAGGTTCAGTGCCTAGCAAGTTTCCTGTTCATATATTTATAGGAAGTTGTTATAGACAGTTTTTTCCCTTTCTTTTTTTGGTGTGTTTTGCTTTGTTTTGTGATAGGGCTTGGCTGGCTTGAAACTCACTATATAGACCAAGCCGGCCTGAACTCACAGAGATCCATCTGACTCTGCTACTCAAGTGCTGGGATTACAAGCATGAACCACATCCCTGCTGTAAAGTATATTTTGTTTTCTGAAAAAATATACTATTTGTATAAGTGTGCATGATGTGTATGGGTGCATATGTGAAGGCCAGAGGTCAGAGGACAACTTTGTGAAGTCAGTTCTCTTCTTTGACCTTTATGTGGGTTCCTGGGATTGAACTCAGGTTGCCAGGCTTGAACAGCAAGTATCTTTATATGCTGAGCCATCTTGCAGGCCTTGATACATTAAAAAGTATTATTTTTAAAAATATTTTTATTTTATGTGTATGAATGTATTGCCTTCATGTAAGTGAGTGCACCCATGTCATGCAATGCTGCAGAGGTCAGAAGAGGGCTTCAGATTCCTCTGGAACTGGGGTTAAGAACGGTTCACAGCTGCCATGTGGGTGCTGGGAATCGAACCCAGGTCCTCTGCAAGAGCAGTCAATGCTCTTAACTCCTGAGCCATCTCTCCAGCCCCTATTTTTATATTTTTATGTACATGAGTGTATTGCCTACATGAATGTTAAGTGCATCTGTGTCATGCAGTGCCCACAAAGGTCATTAAGAGGGTGTCAGATCCCCTGGAACTGTAGTTACAGATGGTTGTTAGCTACCATGTGGGTGCAGGGAACCAAACCCAGGCTCTCTGCAAGTGCACCCAGTGCTCTTAACTACAGAGGCATCTCTCCAGCCCCAACCCCACAGTATATTTTTAAAAATATTTTATTTTTATTTATGTGTATGAGTGTACTGTCAGTATGTCGTGCAGTGCCCGTGGAAGCCAGAAGAGTGTGCTGGATCCCTTGAAACCGGAGTTATGGACAGTTATTAAACACCATGTGGGTGCTGGGAATGGAACCCAGGTCCTCTGCAACCACTTGAGCCACCTCTCTTGGAAATGGGTGAAGTCCTAGATGTGATTGCCAACAATGCAAAAAAAGAAAAAAAAGTACTATTGAACTTTGCAAATGCAAATTCTTTCCTAGATAAAATACCAAAGTTGTACCCTTAATAGTTTAGATTAACATTTTTAGTTTGTGTGAAGGAGAGACGGGGAAGAGATGGCTTATATCGAATGTTTAAATTTTCTTCTGAATGATACATGTCATGTTGTAAAATCTTTAGAAAATTTCATACTGTATAAGAAAAATATATGAAACTGGAAAAATAAAAAGGTTTTTTATTTATGTGTATGTGTCTTTGTGAGTTTATGCCACATGTGTGCAAGTGCCCGCAGAGGCCAGAAGAGGGGGTCAGATCCCCTGGAGCTGGTTGCAGGTGGTTTGTAAAACCACCTCATATGGGTGCTAGGAACAGAACTCAGGTCTTCTGGAAGAGCAGTAAAGACTCTTAACTGCTGAGCCGTTCCTCCAGCACTTCTTTTTAGTTTTTTTGCAAATCAAGCTGTAATTTTTTATTAGAATTACCAAAGACATTGCACCTTTCAAATCTATGCCTGAACTTAACGATGTTTACCAGTGGCTTTATTAAGTGAATGCTTGACAATATTTAACAGTGAATTGAATTTACTTCACATTAATGTCTGCAAATACATGAACAAATCTTAAATATTTTAAATCAACCACCTGGAAGTACACAAGGCTTACTCTCTTCTGAGAGAACATGAACTGAAAGAAACCTGGCCAAATCTAAGTCTCTAACCGACAACCACTACATCATCACTCCTGAACTCATAGGTGGGCACTTCCAGGTTGAGAGGCACAGGGCCCCTCCTGATCCTGCCAGACGCATCATAATGTGACCCATGGTAAGGGCAATAATAGCCACCAAAATCTCCTGCATTTGCAATGGGTACACAACCAAGATGAGTACAGACCCCTATCAGGATAACCCATTCAGACTTCTTTACTTGCTCTAAATCATGCTGTAGGTCCCCTGGGACACATCAACTGCAGCTTCCTGGTCAATCTCCTTAGTTCTATAGCACACTCTATTTAGAGGTTCGCCTCTCCATTTCTGGACACAAACTGAGAGACTGCATTCTTGGCAGCGTACGCAACGCCCACGTAGTAGTTGCAGTCACCAGATACAAGAAGCCTTTTCTAGCCTCGGTGCTCTCCTTAGAAGACTTTGTGCTATCTAAAACTTCGGAGCAGCAGTAGTCAGAGAAGTCTGGCACCTTGACATCCCTGTGCGAACAATGAACAGAAAGAAGCAGGAACATTGAGGCCCACCCTGGCGACTGGTGGAGCTCAGAAGAAGCTGTCAGATCCCTTGGAACTAGAGTTACGGACAGTTGTTAGCTGCCATGCAGGTACTGAGATTTGAACCTGGGTCTTCTGCAAGAACAGTCAATGTTCTTAACCGCTGAGCCATCTCTCCAGTCCCCCATCTTTCTACTAATTT